GGAGGCTGAGGCAGAGGAATCGCTTGAACCCGGGAGGTGGAGGTTGCAGTAAGTCAAGATTGTGTCACTGCACTACAGCCTGGGCGACAGAGTGAGACTCAGTCTTAAAATAAATAAATAAATAAAAATAAAAGGGAGGAACTGTGCTTTCTGAGAAGTGCTCAGGAATAACCTGGGAGGGGATCTCCTTGTGTGAAGAACTCCAGGCACTGAGTAGGCAGAGAAGCTCCTCAGCTTGCCCCCATTCCTCTGATTTGCCCCTAGCCTGGCCCATACATAGTTTGGGTCATTTGGGCAGCCCTGCAGATTCCCTGAGCAGAGGGACCTCTCCTAGGAGAGTGGAAAGAATTCTGTCCTTTGTGTAACTCGCCTTCATTATGTATGAGTATTGGCTCCCCTGGTTGAAAAATGATCACTTCTCTATTGGATTCGCCCAGCTTGAGGGGAAAGCTTTTGGAAGCTCAGGCAGCTTGGAAGATTTCAGGGATTAGAGAACATTGAAGTTGGAGAACTGCAGTGGGGCCTAAAAACGTTCCAGAATCAGGACGGCGCCTGATGCCCTACCCAGCCCCTCTCTAGCACACAGGAGCCCTGGGCCCTTGGCAATCATGTCTCTGCAGCTTGGACCCCATATCCAACAGGGGAGCGTGCACCAATTTACTCTCACCCCACCAGGCGAGTGGAGGGCAGGTGACCTGCCAGTTCTCGAGAGAAGCCAGATGACTGACTTTGGTCACCTTATCACAGGTTAATCCATGAGAAGAGCTTGGAACAGCTCCCGGCAGTGTCAGCGCTCCCAAAGTGTGTGCGGGTATGATTACCATCGCCAGCGGCTGAGCTGGGCAAGGGATCTGACTAGTTAATTTTGGCAATAACTCGACAAACTATCCAATGTGGACAGGGAAACACATGCCAGGGTTTTTAAAAAGCTCCCGCTGTGACACCCTCTGTGTCCTCCCTGGGCGCGGCGGCCTCCCGGCCAGGGACACCCGACCCCGCGTGGTCAGGGCTACCCACAGACGTCCCAAGGCGTGGGGGCGACTTGGCGGCGGAGTGCAGGCCGGGCTGCGGCCCAGCAGGACCTGCGTGAAGACTGCGGCCCGGGGGGTGGGGGTGTGGGGGTGGGCCGGGGTTGGGCTCTGCGGGAGCTGAGCCGCCCCGCCCCCACCTGTGACCTGGATTCCGCGGTGCCTGCGCGGGGGCGGAGGGTGTCAAGGACATGTCTATGGACCGGGGAAACTTCAACTCCCGGAATCGGTGCACCAAAGATATGCTAAGGTGAGGGGTCGGGGCTGTGTAATCATTTACCCGGTTCGTCGGCGTACACCGGCCTCTCTCGCTTATACCAACGCATGTTTTACCCGGTTCGCACCCAAGTCAGAGGCGGTTTGTTTATTAATCCCACAGAGGCTTCTGCCTGCCTTCTAGGAGACTGATCTGGGCCATTTTGAAGGGGAAACTTCAAAACATTAACATTTCAAATAAATGCCCCGGGAGTTGGGAGCGGGGTGCCTCCGATTGCTCCCCCCAGGACCCCCCTTTGCACTGGGGTCACCCAGGGCATTTACAAGACAGAAGTCGCCGCCTGGGCCGCCTTCATTGAGCAGGTGACCTTCCCGGCCGGGTCGGTGGCCCCGCTGCTCTGCCGGGCTGTTCTGGTTCCGGGAGCTGGCGCAGGGCGCTGAGCCACCGCTGGCCCGAGATCGCCCCGGCTCCGCCGCCAGCCGCTGTCCGCGCAGTGCTGGGGCCGCCGGGGACCCGGAGCCGTAGCGGATTAGGCCGCCGGCCCCCACCTGGGCTTTGATCTTATCTGAGTTTAGCAGCGACCGCAGCCGTGGCAGCCCTAACGACGTGGACACCCGCACCTCCGAGCTTCCCCCCTGCGGAGTACCTATGAGGCCAGGCTTGCGCAGCCCCGGGAAAAGGGGTGAGCGCAAACCCGCGGTAGGGGGGCAAAGCCCGAGGCCTGCAAGGTTCCTGCCATCCTCGCTGCGCCCTTTCTCCCGCGCTCGCGCCCTCCGTCCTGCTGAAGCTGATCGACACAGCAAACCCGACAGCCACCAACCTGTGTCCCCTTCTTTCCCTCCTCGCCTCCTCGGCGACCCTTGAAAGCACTCAAGTACGAAGTTACAATTGCAGTTATAATTAACTGCGTCCGACTTCGGCTTCCCCAAGTCTTGGCCTCCCCAAATCTTGGCTTCCGTTAGGACACTGTCCCGGGGTCTCCCTGTCTCGGGCAGCCCCAGTTCCCAAGAAATAGTTATGAATGGATGTTTGCATCCGGTACCCAACCTCAGGCTGTGTACTCCTTTCTCCAAGCACACAGATTCTTCTGGAAGGCCCAGGGATGGTGGAAAGGGAACTAGGTGTGAACAATTATACCAGCCCCCTCCCCCTCCCCTTCCCAGAAAAGGGATTTAGGAGGCACAAGTAAGGTTGCCACACGCCTGCAGGCTGATTGATAAGCAGAGGGTCCCAGGCAACCTGGATCTTGTCTCGTGCCAGAAGCCGCAGTGGGTGTCCTGATGCAGAGCCTGCGTGGCAGTGTTGTTACAGTGGGTAGCCGCAGACATGAGAAGGGCAGGAGAGCCCCTCCCAACCACAGGAAAATCAGGAGACCATCAGGTGATGGTCGGGCAGTTGTTAAGCTGTCTCTCTAAAATGACAATTGGTTACACCCAGCGCCAGAGAAAGGCAGTCTCCCAACAGACAGAAAAACCCAAAACTGGTGATCAGCTTCCGAATTAGATCTCAGGAGCTGAGCGAGTAGGCTCAAGCATGTGAACTAAGGCAAAATGGCAGAGTTTAACTGGTATATGAGCTCTGGGAATATCCAACTGGTAAGAGCAAAACATCTCGTGAGCATGCGCACCACTTCAGTAAACGCTGTGCCAGAGGCCCCTCCCAAGTGCTGGCAGCCACCCCAAGGGAAGAATCAGGGGAGAAGGGACACAACTAACCCCAAGGGAAGATCAAGGGAGAAGGGACGCAACTACCCCACACCCACCAAGGATCGGAACTTGTAAGATTCTAAGTCAAAGGTCAAACTGTGCAGTTGAATCTCTCGAGTCACCCAGCCACTTGGCCCTCTTCCAAGTGTACTTTTACATTTTTTCCTGCTCTAAAACTTTGTATTTTATTATTTTATTTTTATTTTGTTTTGTTGAGACAGAGTTTCACTCTTGTTGCCCAGGATAGAGTGCAATGGCACGATCTTGGCTCACTGCAACCTCGCCTCCTGGGTTAAAGTGATTCTCCTGCCTCAGCCTCCAGAGTAGCTGGGATTACAGGCATGCACCACCATGCCTGGCTAATTTTTTGTATTTTAGTAGAGACAGGATTTCTCCATGTTGGTCAGGCTGCTCTTGAACTGCTGACCTCAGGTGATCCGCCCGCCTCGGCCTCCCAAAGTTCTGGGATTACAGGCGTGAGCTGCTGTGACTGGCCTATATTATTATTATTATTTTGAGACAGAGTCTTTCTCTTTTGCCCAAGCTGGAGTGCAGTGGTGCAATTCAGCTCATTATAACCTACACCTCCCAGGTTCAAGAGATTTCCATGCCTCGGCCCTCCCAAGAAGTTGGGATTGCAGGTGTGTACCACCATGCCCAACTAATTTTTGTATTTTTTAGTAGAGACAGGATTTCACTATGTTGGCCAGGCTGGTCTTGAACTCCTGACCTCAGGTGATCCACCTGCCTCGACCTCCCAAAGTGCTGGGATTATAGGTGTGAGCCACCTCGGCCGACCATGTATTTTTACTTTCATTCCTGCTCTAAAAGTTTTTAATAAAACTTTCACTTCTGCTCTAAAACTTGCCCCTCTCTCTCCTCCTGTCTTAGACCCCTTGGTGGTGTTCTTTCTTCTGAGGAGGGAAGAACTGAGGTCGCTGCAGCCCCTTATGGATTTGCCACCAGTTTACAGCCTTTGGTGCCCACATTCCCTGGGGCTAACAGTCTCAACCTTTGAGAAACAGGTATGTTTTGTTAAGTCTCCGTGTCCTGAAGGATGCACATGTCCTTCTGATTTTGTGTGCACCCTGTTTCAGGCTCCCCTATGAAGTTTGCCCAAGCCCAGGTTTAGGAATCTTGTTCACCTTCCCGATACCCACTTCCCTGCTTATGCCTCTTGCTGGCCTACTTGCTGTTCCCGCAGCAGTCAGCTTGGGCTGTCCAGCTTATTTCTTACCAGCAGCGAGCTTGACTATGGGAGTACCCACTTCCTCTACACCCACCCCCACCCAAATTCTTTTTTTTTAATTTTTTTTTAATAAAGATGGGTTTCACCATGTTGGTCAGGCTGGTTTTGAATTTCCAACCTCAGGTGATCCACCTGCCTTGGCCTCCAAAATGCTTGGATTACAGGCATGAGCCCACTAGGCCTGGCCCACCTAAATTCTTTCCTTTCATGCCTTCTCTGCGGGAAGCCAGGGTCCTCACCCCCCAGCCTCACCAATAGCTTGGTGAGCCTTCTGATGTGGCGCCCACTGCTTAGGGTATCAGTCCCTGGTGGCTGACAGGCTCCTGAGGCAGGACCTTGACTTCACTTTTCTGTCCTTTTCCCTGCCCCATAGGCAGAGGATTCTCAGAATTCTAGCTTATCTTGCTGACTGGGCAGTGCTCCAGGACACCTGTGATGACTTCACTGCCAAGTAATCCCTAAATGTTCTTTCGACTGGATGCCACCAAGAAATCTCCGACCTTGGAAGGCATGCATAATAAATCCTAAGACTCAAAAACCTTGCAAGATTCTTCCACATAAAATGAGTGGAGAAGTACTTTGGGGCTT